GGGGGGGTATTACATAATAAGAATTATTGTTTCCTGCCATTTTCTATCCGCGTCGGTTTTCAGGCTGACGTGGTGCTATACAGTCATTATTGTACACATATGACCATAGTCCCATCTTCCAAATCCCACCTTCTGTTTCCGATCTCTCATCTCTTGTTTCCCATGTACCGCATCCAATTTCCCATATAAAATTTAATTCTGTTGCCAAAGTCCAAATCAGATGTGCTGTTCAAGCACAAGTTTTAAACAGCTTGATTTAATACTGTTTTATTCGGAATCAATGCTTGGTCTGCATGAGATTTCTTTGATGTATCCTCTTCAAAAGCGAGTTTATTTTTACTTTACCTAACTCACATTTCACCCAGCACGACTACAGGGATCCATAATATTATTATTATTATATATATGATGTCAATTTGGTAAGAGAATTGCAGTCAGAATCAAACTTTAATATATAAGAAATGTAACAATCTGAAAAGACTACAAATATTTTGAAAATGCTCCCTCTAGAGAGAGGTAATGTGACTCTCTTTACACAGCACCAGTCGTCGTATTTCAAAGACCCAGGTGATGGGGAAACGACTAGTTGTTTGATATCATTAAGAAGAGACAAGGACAGTTTGAATCTGCAAGACATTGTTATAAAAGGTCGCAATTTCAGGTTGTAAAGAAATAGTAACTTAGCAAGACTGCATTGTGTCGCCACAATACATTCACTTCTTAAGTTGGACAAAGAAATTTACTCTCCAAGCCCGTAATGTCATTATTGTCTGGTAATTCTGTAATTAATATGATGTTGACCAGGGACAACGAGCTAGACACTTTAACCAATGTTGCGATATGAAGTGACTGGACAGTAAACAACATGAGTTCGATCGGTGAACATCTTGCTGCTTAAAATCATTAAATAATTTTCCTCATTCTTGTTTGTTGATTTTCAGCGTGTCTGCGCTTCAAGAGCATGAATGTGGGTTTGTATCCCAGTACCAAAGTGTTTTTTTTGTTTGGTTTTTCTTCTTCTTCTCCTTCCGACTGAAAAACAATTTTCCCCATAAATTTGTTGCTTTGTAATTTCTTATGTAGTGATGAAGCATGCAAATTCTGGTTTTGCCCCCAAGAGGAGCTTTTACTAAAGATCTAGAATCTAGGCCTACTTTTCCTTTTACCAATTTATGCCTGGTTAAAGTACATTTTCAACAGTGGTTTTCCTTAGTCTGTGAGTCTAAAATTTTTAATTTCTTTTAGAATCAGAGAGGCTAAATCTTAGCTCTTCAATTGCAAATTTTCTTTATCCAGGGCCCTCCTGCTGCCCCCAGACCCCTGCCAATTGATCCTCCTGCCAATTATTATTCGACCTGGTTGGGGGCCCGGGGGCATGCAAATTGTTGGTCACTAAGGAGAAGGAGAGGAAACATCCCCCCCAAGTTTCCGGGACCAAGATTCGATGCCACGCTTGTTGGAAGCACTGAGCATTAGAGAACGTAGACAGCTTGTATTACGTCCTCTCTCTAACGTTAGAGAAGGTAGACATTACCCTAACTTATTCTAGAGACTAGATCTAGATCCAGATGCTAAACACACCATACTAACTAGATTCTAGATCTATCTCTATGCTAAACAAATACTACTGGACTAGATCTCTACTAGATTCTAAGGCGCTTTTTCGGTAGTTCCCACCCCGCAATTTTATTCACGGGTTTGGGCCACAAGAGTAGGGGGGTTTCAAGGGGGCTTGCCCCCCTGACCTAATAAAAATAGGAAGGGGGGTTTCAGGGGGGCATGCCCCCCTGAATTTTACCAAAATTTAATGTTTTGTAGTTGTTAGGTTTGATATCTTAGCTCACCGCGAATCAAACGTATAGATCTAGATCTAGATCTAGATGTAGGTCAGGCTCAAATAAAGGGGGTGGGAACTACCGAAAAAGCACCGATTCTAATACTAGAGCTCTAGATTTCTCTAGATTAGAATATGGAAAGTAGCGTAGAGAAATGAATGAGGTGTAAACAATACATGTATATTATTATATTAGATCTAGATCTAACATACAAAAATAATAATATATAGATTCTAGATCTAGATCTAGATCTAGACATCTATAATTACTATTATTGTTGAGCAACATACAGTACATCAGGACAACAGTAGACCAACCACGTTACTTTTGTTATACTTTAATTTTATAATAACGAAGTGTATACAGACCCGGTAACCGGGAACAAAGTCACGAAGTATACAGACCCGGTAAGGGAACTCTTTTGTGATTTCGGAAAGTTTCAGCGCCCAGACCCGGTAGTGTGTGTGCGTGTGTGTGTGTGTGTGGTGTGTGTGTGTGTGTGTGTGTGAGAGAGAGAGAGAGAGAGAGAGAGAGAGATAGAGAGAT